TTTCATAGTCTGTAACTTGATTCAGCAGCACTTGGTATTTATATAGTCACATAATAATGAGAACACTGGACAGCTTGAGCAGGGAGCAACATAACCAGATTTCACGAATGTACGCTAAAAAATCAACTACTGAAGTATTACGTAAAATAAACCCCTTTTAGGTGTACAGTTTGATGAATTTTGACAAGTGTATGCAGCCATGTAACCACCATCACAATCAAATATAGACCGTTTCAGTCACCCAAAAGGTTCTCTTGTGCCCTATCCCAGCTTTGTGCCCCGCAGGCAGTGACTGACCTGTTTTCTATCACTTTAAATGAGATTTGTACTTTCTAGAGTTTGGTGTAATGGAATCATGCCATATGTGCTTCTTTGTGTGTCGTTTCTTTCACTCAGCAGAATGTTATTGAGATTCATCCATGCGGTCACACCATCAGCAATTCTTTTTTTAATGCTAAGTGGTGTTCTCTTGTATGGATGTGCCACCATTAGTTCATCTATTCACCGAGATTTAGGTTTTAAAGGGACCCTGTGGAATAGACTCCAGGGGCCAGAGTGGAAGCAGAAGACCTGTCTCAGGTGGTCCAGGTAAGAGATGCAAGTGTCTGTTCCTCCAGCCCCAGTGCCATTCCCCAAACACACCAAGCACATCCCCACCTTAGGGCCTCAGGTGTTCCCAGCCGGAAGGCTCATCTCCCAGGCGTCTGTGGGTTTGCCTTCTCACTTCATTTAGGCGTCTGTTCAGCCATCACTCCCTCCCCCACCACTGCCCGCTTGTCCCCTCTCCTTGACTTGCGTTTCTTCTTTGCCCTTATGGTCATTGACCTTATACCTCTTTGTATACTTCTTGTCTGCTGCCCCCACCAAGAGTGTGAGCTTCATGGTGGCCATGTCTAGAATGTACACATTTTATAAATATGTGTGGAGTGACTCAGTGTGGCTCCCTGAGAGCAAGGTCTGTGTCTATCACCTGTGAAGTACAAGGTGTGGTACTGGGTGGCAGTCGAGGGTTAAAGCTGTAAGTATTAAATTTCCACGTGGATATGCCCTTCAGGTGACTCCAGTTGCAATTCCCTGGGTAGAGACAGGGCCTTAAAAGTGATGGCCAGGGTGACCACAGTGGGCCAAGGGTGTGGCAGTGAGCAGTCTCAGGGAGGCCACCACTTTTCTGAGTGTCATTTGAGGCCTGTGACCCCCACCCGCCAGTACTGGTTGGAGAGCTTCTCCCTGGTGTGCAGGGGAACCGGATGGGACCCTCCCCCAACCCCGCCCCCAAACGCCTTCTGGCCACTGACCTTTGTGTACCCTGTGTTTTCTCTCCCACTGCTGGGACTCACCAGCATGATACTGGACCAGGCCACCTCTTGGAACGCTTGACCAGCTGGTAGTAATGTCCCAGAACAAAGTAAAGAGAGCATTAACAGCTGTTGATTGATTGGGCGTAGAGTAACTGCTTATAGCAACAATAGAACTTAATTACAATCTGCTGGTTTGGCAGCTACTGAGGTGCCGCCTTGATCTCTGTAGCTTCCAGGTGGCCACTTCTGTGCTGCAGACATCCTGAAATGTGAGGTTTGTTTTTGGATGATGTGTCTGCTGTGGTGGTTGAATGATAATTGTATAGATTTTCCTCTGAAACTTAATTTCACAAACTGGCAAAACAGGCTTGTTATATTTATCTCTTAAATCATTAGGGAATAATAATTAGACCCCAAATGGTTTTAAATGTTTCTGTATTAATAGTAATTTTTAGCCTGAAACCACCGCTAATAATTGGTTCTTGGGATTGGTATTTGGAGCTGTCTTAGGGGATTCTAAATAAAAAGACACCTTCTGTGCTTGGCTAGAGGACAGTTTTTTTGTTTTTTTTTTTTTTGCAGTACGTGGGCTTCTCACTGTTGTGGCCTCTCCCGTTTTGGAGCACAGGCTCCAGACGCGCAGGCTCAGCAGCCATGGCTCATGGGCCTAGCCGCTACGCGGCATGTGGGATCCTCCCGGACCAGGGCACGAACCCGTGTCCCCTGCATCGGCAGGCGGACTCTCAATTGCTGCGCCACCAGGGAAGCCCTAGAGGACAGTTTTTAACAGTCACTTTGCTTTGTTGTAGGTAAACAGCAGGGGCAGAATGGTTTAGCGTGGAGATTTGATTTGGGCCCCATCGGTGGACAGTGGTAGTTCACTCACGGAGGGCTCACTCTGCGGGCTGTGTTCTGATCGCTTTGCTGTGTGAACCTGTTTAAATACAGCAGTAGGTCCTGCTACTCTCCCATCCTGCAGGTGGGGGCACCAAGTAACCAGGCCAAAGTTAAGGAGCCAGTCAGTTCTGGAACCAGGATTGGAGTCCAGTCTGACTCCAGAACCTGTACTTTTAACCTCTCTTATACTGCTTCCATTTATTGAGCACCTATTTCATGTCAGTGTCCTGAACAGATACTGGTCCAACTAAATCCTCACATCAGGTGTGATTCGTGGTATTGAGGAGGAAGCCAAGGCTTAGATTAAGAATTTGCCCCAGTTCATTTCTCCTCTCTCCCTCCTTCCTTCTCTTTTTCTTCTCTCTGTCACATATATTTACTAAGAACTTAATATGTATCAGACACTGTTCTGGGCTCCGGGGTTACCTCAGCAATGAAGGTAATTGTCAAAAGACAGATGTGATTCACATTCTCATAATGTTTAAATTCCAGTGGAAAGACACATAATAGTGAACCAATAAATAAGTGAATACATAAGAAAATGCCCCCCCCCAAAAAAAAAGAGAGAGAGAGAAAAAAAGAAAATGTCAAATAGTGTTACCAACCAGGGTTCTTGGCATCCTTAATCAGTAGAAATTGATAATGGGCCAGACAAGAAGTTCACGCAAGGCGTTATTGGGGCCCCTCCTGCAGCAGTGGGGGGTAGTGAAAACAAGCAACAGGTTCCCTTGCCGGTTCCCCAAGGCAGGGAGAGCTGGTTCGTATATGGGGTGAGGGGAGGGGTGTGTCCAGCGCTCAGGCCAGAGGGGCGCTTAGGAGGTCTGCCCACCCCTTAGGTGGCGGTGTGTGCAGGGGGCTTGCGCAGTACCCTGCTTTTGCTCCCGGCTCTTCAGAAATGGCAGTTGGGTTTTGGATTTTCCGTCTTTTTTGTATCTTTGCCCCAACTGCACATGCACGCAGGTATTTTTAGTCCCTCATAGTTTCCTTGTATTTCATTGCTTGAGGAGACGCGTGTCCAGGTACAAGCACAGCAGCAAAGGGTCCCAGGGCCCAGCCTGTCTCAACAGTAAGTACCAGACAGAGAACTGAAATAAGGTGGTGTGATAGAGAGGAGAGGGGTCACTTAGATGGTTCTTAGGGAGTCCTCTTTGTGAGGAAGTGACCTCTCAGCTGAGCTCTGGATGACAAGTCAGCCTACCATGGGTAAGACCAGGGAAAGAACATTCCAGACAGAGGGGCCACCTACAAATGCCTCAGAGTGTCACATGGGGGGAAAGGGGGTAAGTGGGCAGAGAAGAGGTCAGTGGGAAGGAGGGTAGATCATGGTGGCCTTGGTGAGCCCACCTGGAGACTTGGAGTTTTATTTGTAAGCACAATGGGAAGGTGTTGGAAGGTTTTACTCAGGTGAGTGATGTGATCTGATTTTGGTTTGTAAGAGGTTGTGTTGTCTTCTGGGTGAGGACTGGATTGCAGGAGCCTGTGTGGCAGTGTCTTTGGACATGGTTGTTACGGTCCTGGTAAGAGATGGTGATGGCTAGTGGTGATGGAGATGGGTGGTGGAGATGGAGAGAGAGGAGTATGTGGGTTTGGGTGTGTTTTGGAGGAAGAGACGGCTTAACTTGCTGATGAATTTGATGCAGAGCTAGAAAGAGAGACGAATTTGGCCTGAGCCGCTGGGTAGATAATGATGCAGCTTACTAAAATTGAGAAAGCCGAGGTGAAGCAGCTTGCAGAGGGTCCGTTTTAGACATGCTGAATTTGTGTACCTCTTGGTTGGCCTGTCAAGGAGGCGTCTCTATGAGGCCTGACTGGAAGGAGACAGGACTCTAGACACCCCTTTCAGTGAAGGGAGCAGAGAAACGTGGTCGCCAGAGGGGCTGGGGGGCGAGGCAGGGTCTTTGCAAACATGGATAATGGAGCATATTTGTTTCCTGGTGGGAGCTGTCCACCGGGAGAGAGATGGCAGTAGAGGAGAAGGGGCGTGGCTGCAGGGGTGTTGCCCTCCAGAAGGTGAGACAGTGCCAGCCCCAGAGCCAGACCCTTCTGAGAAGGTAACAGAGGGATGGCAGGGAGGGCGGGGCTGGGGGGCGGTGGTTTGGGTGGTGAGAGGATGAGGGGCCTCCCATCCAGTTGCTTCCAGTTTTCTCCTGATGAAGAGGCAGGTTCATAGGGTGGGCGGAGGGTGGGAGTATGGAGGGTTTGAAGAGAGGAGGGGGTGAGGTGTTGTCTCACTAGGGGCTTACCATGGGATTGTGGCATGTCCATTTGAGAACAGTGGCCGCATGTGTTCTCAGGTAGCGGTCAGCGGGGAGTGGGGTAAGCAGCGAAGCGGCAGGCGTGCAGATCCATGGGTGTAACCAGGGCGGGGAATTTTCCAGGTGTGGACGGTGGAGCAAGGGAAGCCAGCGTGAGTTGAGGGCTGCAGGATTGTAGTCTTTCTGTCTCCACCCAGTCCTGCTGCCAGAGTAACCATTTCCACCTCTTTCCCCCCTAAGAAGTGCCCGCAGGGGCCTCCCGGGCTAAGCAGTGCTGGGCTTCTGCGCCTGTAGGTACCAACGAGCACCCCCGGCAGCACCTCCCTCCCTCCTCCCTTCCTGTGCCGTGAACCTCTTGTCTTTGGTTGACTCAGGACCCCCCCCGAGAGAAAGGAGAAAGTGGAGCAAGCCCCAAAAGTCAGCTGAAGCCTGTGTCTGCACAGGGGCTGTTGCTGCGCTGTCTCCAGATCTGCTTGGAGAGACGCAACATGTAAACCAGTGAAACGAATACTGCTATGCCTGAGTGGTACCTTTTCTTTTTCTCCCTAAGGGTTTGGAGAAGACCTCTGGTCAAGGATTTGCTAGAACCACTGGTGAGATCCTGAGCTGCCATCTGTTCCCAGGACATGTCTTTGCAGCTCCTGATTCACTTCTCCTAGCCTCCCTTCCAGCTTTGTCCCACGCTGACCCCTCAGTGTAGGAAATATCCCTTTCTATTCCTCTAGGATGCATTCTTTTAATTAATTAACTTATTAATTTTTATTTTTTGGGGGGCTGCATTGGGTCTTCATAGCTGCACGAGGGCTTTCTCTAGTTGCAGTGCACAGGCTTCTCATTGCGGTGGCTTCTCTTGCTGCGGAGCATGGGCTCTAGGCACATGGGCTTCAATAGTTGTGGCTCGCAGGCTTTAGAGCGCAGGCTCAGTAGTTGTGGCGCACTGGCTTAGTTGCTGCGCGGCATGTGGGATCTTCCCGGACCAGGGCTTGAACCCGTGTCCCCTGCATTGGCAGGCGGGTTCTTAACCACTGCGCCACCAGGGAAGCCTCCTTAGGATGCTTTCTTGATTAAAGAATGTCATCCAGCAAACCCTGCCCATCCAGATGAGGATGTGGAGGCCGAGACCCAGAAGGATGTAGCTTCACTTCCCATCTCATCCTGCCCCTGAGGGTGGGGCCAGGGCCTTCTGGGAGGCAGGTGGGGTACGGTCCTCTGAGACAGCCCTGGTGCCTCCAGAACACAACCTTCTGCTTTCCAGCTTGTACACAGCTCGTTCCTAAAGCTTCTGTTGACCCCTGTAAGACAGAGAAACCGAGGACAAGCATCTTTGCAGTTCCCATGGAAATGAGGTGAGCGGAGGTGTAGAGAGGCCGCTGGCAAAGGACAACTGTAAACGTCTGCTCAGTCCCTAGAGGGTGGCGGCAAGGATGGTACTGGGGAGGGGGATAAAGTTTTCAGGAACTCCTGCGTCAGACCCAGGCTCTAAGGCTGTGACCCACAGTGACTTACACAGTCTGTCTCCATTTCTGTACAGTGATGGCCTGTAACTCTCCCCTACCCTGGATGCCATGAGATCGGCATGTCCACCACATCTTCTGCTTTAACAGCAGACACCATTCTTAGTGTCAGTGATGCCAGACTATTCTGTTTGACTTGAAATGCTATAGGATGTATGTTTTTTGTTTCGTTTTTCTAAATGGCAGGTCTGCCTTTCTAACCTTGTGTGACTTAGGCGATAGAGTTAGTGGAGTGGTGGGATGAGGTGTGGCATATGCTTAAACACAGGGAGGAGTGGTTTGGGCGTTGCAGACGTGTCCTGCATTGTGGACGGTCCAAACTTGCATCACTTGAGGTTCATGAATCACTCAGGCAGGCCCAAGGTCAGCCCAGTGAGGGCTTTTGCCCATCTCTCTCTGTGGAGTTCCCTGGTGTGTTTTTATTTCCCTCAGCCTCTCCCCTTCCCCAAACTCTCCAACCCCTGTGTCCCCTGGCGTGGTGCTTCCTTTGCTCTGCGTTATGATTACTTGGGCACTTGTCTTGTTGCCACCCTGGGCGGGGGGGTGCACAGTCCTCTTGTCAGGGTGACTCTCCTGCCCAGCATCCTCCAGGACAGGTGTTGGTTGAATCACTCCTGTGTTCACTCCCTTCCCTTTGTTCCCTGTTCTTCTTGCAGAGGGTCCTTCTTGGCGCTGCTCTTGAGAGAATGCTTCCGAGACCTGGGCTGGCTGGCCACCATCCACAGCGTCGGTGGGGACGTGGGGCTGTTGGTGACCAGTATTGTCCCTCAGACCCCCTTCTTCTGGGCCATGCATGTCACGGAGGTACAGGCTTGTTGGTGGTCCTCTTGGGCTTCGGTGACACCTCATGGGGCCCTGCTGGGGTCAGCGTGCTGATGGGGGCCCATCAGCAGTGGACATCCAGAGTGGCCGCACTCTGATCCCTGGTCCCACGTCATACCTTCAGTTCCCTTGGGGTGGATCAGCGGTGCTGATGTAACAGGTGACACCCGCAGAGACAGACGTGCAATGTGGGGCAGGCAGCGAGGCCCATGGCGTTTGTACCGTCCACAGACGCTGCACCAGAACATGCAGGCGCTGTTCAGAGCCCTGGCCGAGGCAGAGGAGCAGCAGCCCTACCTGCACGACTCGGCTGTGCGGCGCGGGACCCGCTGTCTGGCCGAGTACCAGCTGGGTGATTACGGATGGGCCTGGAACAGGTGTGTACCAGGCAGGGCTGGAGGTTTGCTTCTCCATTCTCTGGACTCTTGTTTCTTTGCTGCTGCTTCCTCTCTCAAGATACCTCTCCTCTGATCACCTCTCCATCCAAGGTGGGGAACAGCGTAGGAAACTCCCATCCCTCTTAGCCCAGACCTTCAAGCCCTCTCCGTGAGGACTGCTGTGCGTGCCACCAGGTGAGATGAGCCTCCTCTCCCTCCCTCTGGCCAGGTGCTGGGTGCTGGACCGAGTGGACTCCTGGGCTGTTGTCACGTTCATCGATTTCGGCCAGTCGGCCACCATCCCAGTGCAATCCCTGCGCAGCCTGGATAGTGACGATTTCTGGACCATCCCCCCCCTGGCTCAGCCATTCATGCTGGAGAAAGGTAAGGTGCCCTCCACCCTCCTGAGCACTCGGAGACAGGAGATGCTGTGCGCGCCTCTGGGACCTCGGCGGGAATGGCGTCCGGGGCAGCCGAGGCCCTCAGGATGCCTGCCCTTCAGCCTCTATTCTTTTGATCTCACCCCGGTTTTCGGCATCTGCCCCTTGCAAAGCTGCTTCTTGAGAACTGTTTTTCACACCTGGTCTCTCTGAGCAACGAGATCTGGAAAGGAACCTCAGGTGCTGCCCGAAGGCTGAGTTCTCTGGGTGGAGTGAGGGGAGGGCAAGCCTCCCCGTCTCACTTCTGCCAGAGTGGCTCAGCTTCCATCTGTTTCACGTACATTGAGTTTTGCTTAAGATTTCTTTAGAGAAGCATTCTGTGTAGAAGAAAACTGGAACTTGGAGACCAACGATAGGGGTTAGAGCATTTGGACTCAGCATCTCCCCCAATGTGCTGTTTGTTACTTTATTTTTTTCTTTTCTTTTTTAAATTGAAGTATAGTTGATTTACAATATTGTGTTAGTTTCAGGTCTACAGCAAAATGATTCAGTTATACATATATATATATTTTTCAGATTCTTTTCCATTAGAGGTTATTACAAGATGCTGACTATAGTTCCCTGTGCTATACAGTAAATCTTTATTGTTTATCTATTTTACGTATAATGGTGTGTATCTATTAATCCCATACTCCTAATTTATCCCTCCCCTCCCCACTTCCCCGTTGGTAACCGTAAGTTTGTTTTCTATGTCTGTGAGTCTGTTTCTGTTTTGTAAATAAGTTCATTTGTATTATTTTTAAGATTCCACATATAAGTGATATATTTGTCTTTCTCTGTCTGACTTACTTCACTTAGTATGATAATCTCTAGGTCCATCCATGTTGCTGCAAATGGCACTGTTTCATTCTTTTTTATGGCTTCTTTATCCATTCATCTGTTGATGGACATTTAGGTTGCTTCCATGTCTTGGCTTTTGTAAATAGTGGTGCTATGAACATTGGGGTGCATGTATCTTTTTGAATCGGAGTTTTTGTCTTTTCCGGATATATGCCCAGGAGTGGGATTGCAGGATCATATGGTAACTCTATTTTTAGTTTTCTAAGGAACCTCCATACTGTTTTCCATAGTGGCTGTACCAATTTACATTCCCACCAACAGTGTAGGAGGGTTTCCTTTTCTCCACACCCTCTCCAGCATTTATTATTTGTAAACTTGGTGAAGATGGCCATTCTGACTGGTGTGAGGTGATAACTCATTGTGGTTTTGATTTGCATTTCTCTAATAATTGTCGATGTTGAGCATCTTTCATGTGCCTGTTGGCCATCTGTATGTCTTTTTTTTTTTTAATTTATTATTTTGGCTGCGTTGGGTCTTTGTTGCTGCGCATGGGCTTTGTCTAGTTGTGGCGAGCAGGGGCTACTCTTCGTTGTGGTGTGCGGGCTTCTCATTGCGGTGGCTTCTCTTGTTGCAGAGCACGGGCTCTAGGCACACTGGCTTCAGTAGTTGTGGTGCACCGGCTCAGTAGTTGTGGCTCACGGGTTCTAGTGCACAAGCTCAGTAGTTGTGGCACACGGGCTTAGTTGCTCCGCGGCATGTGGGATCTTCCCAGACCAGGGATTGAACTCGTGTGCCCTGCGCTGGCAGGCAGATTCTTAACCACTGCGCCACCAGGGAAGTCCTGTATGTCTTCTTTGGAGAAATGTCTATTTAGGTCTTCTGCCCATTTTTGATTGGGTTGTTGTTTTTTTGATATTGAGCTGTATGAGCTGTTTGTATATTTTGGAAATTAACCCCTTGTTGGTCGCATCATTTGTAAATATTTTCTGCCAATCCATCGGTTGTCTTTTCGTTTTGTGTATGGTTTCCTTTGCTGTGCAGAAGCTTTTAAAGTTTCATTAAGTTCCATTTGTTTATTTTTGCTTTTATTTTTCTTGCCTTGGGAGACCGATCTAAGAAAATATTACTATGATTTATGACAGAATGTTTTGCCCGTGTTCTCTTCTAGGAGTTTTATGGTGTCATGCCTTATGTTCAAGTCTTTAAACCATTTTGAGTTTATTTTTGTATATAGTGTGAGGTGTTTGTTACTCTAGATCCAGGGACCTGTGGAGCCTCAGTTTCTACACCCTTGAAACGAAGAGGCCCCTTCTCGAGACTGGGGTTTAGGTGAGATGTGAAAGAGTGAAAGAATGCTTTGGGGGCTGAGGAGGAGAAGTGGATGTGAAGAAATACACATACCACACAAAATAAGATGGAAAAGCACCTCCCCAAAGTGCAGGGCCAAGCCTCCCTGCTAGGCTGATGGGCACCACCCAGAGGTCACCTTGGGTCATTACATGAAGAGGGCCCCTGCCTCTCGGCCTGGGGAGTAATGCCAGCAGACAGGACCTGGGAGCTTCTGGTGGGCTGAACCTGACTGCTTGGCTGTTGGAGGGTGGCCTAGAGTAAGGAGCCCCTGCCCCAAAGAGCAGCTCCCAGCCTGTCAGAGGGGCCAGAGTGTGCAGCCCAGATACGTGGGTTCTCAGCTCTTGTGTGGACTTTGAGATGACCCCGAGGCCAGGTGGGCAGGTGTACAATTTTTCTCCCTTTATGCATGAGGAAAGTAAGCCTCAGGAAAATGAAAGGGACTTCTTCACGTTTCATAGCAAGAAAATGGCATAGCTGGGGGTGGAACTGAGGTCTGACCCTTGATATGAGCCAGTTTCATGCATACAAACAGTCCCAGTTTGGCGGGGTGGCGGGAGCTGAGTAAGGGCAGATGTCCTGGAGAAAGGTGAGTGTCTGACCAGCGCCCTGCCCTGCCTTGTCCCAGCAGGTAGGAATGTGCCCTCGTCATGGTAAAAAGGCTCTCGGCCTTTTAACCTCCATCTCTCCAGCCAAAACTCTCAGAGCAGAGTTGAATGAACAGTTTTCTGTCTCCAGAATTTCCATTAGGGAATGTAAAATCCCAGATCCCTGTAATTATTTTAACAACAATAATGCCTCCTTTTACTTGCTCTTACTTTGCCCTCCCCTTCTCCTCCCTCTGCAGTGCTTATTATCTCACGATATCCTGGCAGCTGGGAATGAGTACTAACTAGCAGAGACTTGTCTGCAAGACCTGGTCTGCAGCCAGAACACTTCCCTGCAGCCCCGGCTTCTCACTTCCCTCCCTTGCTCCTTCTGCCTGACCAAGTGCCACCAAGGTTTTGTTGTTGTGTTTTGTTTTACAGATATTTGGAGTTCATATCAGGTTATCCATCGCATCCTCAAAGGGAAAATCACTGGTGCTTTGAACTTGGAGGTAACTGCTGGGTAGCTACTGTTCCCCTCCCCTCCCCTACCTCCCAGGGTCTCAGCTGCAGGCCCTGGCCTCGGCCTGGATGCTGCGGGTTTACCTGTCATTCCCTTAGAGGAAACAAACTGAAGTTGTCCAGGGGTTGTTGGGTGGACCAACTGGGGGCAGTCCTGCCTTCCCAATCAGATTTTCTCTTTCTCTTCCAGTTGCACATCCTGAAGTTTGAAGAGTTTAAATAACATGGCTACAATCGGCACGTTTCTTCTCTTGTCTAGATTCAGCCTGCTCTACCCTTTCACTCTTGAGGCCTTGGGGGTGAAAAAGGCCACAGCGGTGCCCAGGATTGATTGGATTCCCCTTTGCCTTTCCCCCAGCTCACTCCTCAATTTGTCATGTGCCTTCCGTCGCCCAGCTCAGTGTGAACATTTGAACCAAACATGGGAAGCTTCCATGAGGTTGAAAGTCTGATGTAGCCATTGTATTCTTTCCTGTGTCTCTTCTTTGTACCCTCAGAGCATGATATAAGTTGCCCTGACAGATTCTGGAGAATGGAGGGGCCCACTCTTTAATTTTCCTGGCATTCTGTCGTAGAATCAGGTAGGGAGCACTTAAACATTGATGCATCGCCTTGGTGAATAAATGTTGGCATGCTTCACGTTTGGGGTGACTGATTCCTCTGTGTAGCCACCCCTCCCCAGTGCTGCCCCCTAAAACCGAAGCAGCGAGACTGGGAAGCTGTCGTGTGCCGGCCGTGCGGACACTGCCTGGGATATAGATGCACACTTGCATAGGGTATAAGTTTTGTGTCCTTTCTCTTTGCCTTCTTAGTGGACAGAACATTGGTTCAGGGTGAGGCGGCCTTGATTTTATTTATTTATTTTTCTAATGCTGTGTAACTTCATTAGCAGCCTAATGTAAGGTTATGAAAGGGACTGTTAGGTTTGACAAGAAAAGTGGAAGACTTTCTTTAGAGTTGGTGTTTATATAGCTATAGCGCACAGGAGCTGGTGCTTCCCTTTACATCAGGTGAATGTGGATCCCATTATTTCCTTAAATAATTTGATTAGAGCCAAGCTATTTAAATAATTTTATTTGTTTCATCCTTTGGTAGATGAGAAAAATACATTACAAAATACATTATACTGAGGACAGATCACAGTACACATTGCTAAAAACACAATCTACTTTCCAGCCAGGGCTGGTGATAAGTTCAGAAGAAAGCCTCGGAGGCCTTGAAAACCAGATCTCAGCTTCATGAAATGAGTTTCCCCCTTGGGTCCCCTCTTTATCTCCACCTCAGCATAAATTAGCACCCTGTATCAGGTGGGTGTGGTGGGGTAGGAGCAGCATTGAGTGGGACTGGTGGACTCTCCGTCCACCTGAAGCAGCAAAACATTAAAATCCCTTAAAAGGGGGAGAAACGACCAATGTTAAAATTGCTGTGTCAAACAAAGCATTACAGAACTCTGGCATCTTACAGGTTCCCAGATGGCTGTCCTAAGTCTGGGCTTTCTGAGATGAGTGTCTTCACTTAGCCATCCCTGGCCTCTGGCGTTTGTCACCATCCAGTCTGTAGGCAGAGTAGGTCCAAAGAGGCTGCCTCTGCCTCAAGGCAAGCTCACTGACCAGGAGAGGCAGGCAGCGCATACCACATGCAAACAGTACGCCTGTACTTTTAAATAGCAGGAACAGACATGGCACCTACGGTTCAGCTCAGCAGACTCCCCTCCCCAGCAGTTCTCAGAGCCTGAGGTAAGGACACAGGTATACAGACCAACCCCCTTAAAGCTAACTCTTTCCAGTAGGACCCACCTTATGAGTGCCTTAAAAGAATCCAGTCTCCAAGCCACATGGCTCCTCTTTGATAAGACCAGATGAAGCAAGAGACCGGAGGGGGGAACAAGGGAGCTACCATCACCCTTCAGTGCCACTTGCTGGGAGGGAGGGGAACCAGTGAACACGGGAGTGTTAGCTACATAGCAAGTTGCTGAGACCAGAAAGGTCACATACATGCTTGAGACTCTGCCCCCATCCCTACTCAGTTCATTTTAAAGTAGTTCTGTGAAGCAGCCTCTTAGGCCTCCTTGTTATTTTTTTCTTAGAAACTTGAAAACATCTGTGACTAGAAAAGTAGTCCTAAGAATTAAGGTCATCATTTCAGCCTACTACTTTGTGGTTCAGCAGGCCAGGCTCTGCATTCCCAGGGGTACAAGTGCTGGTCACTCCAGAGGCCTTCAGGGGCGAGCCAGGTGCGTGCTTCAGCTCCACCTTTCTCTTGCTTTAGCAGCGAAGCACAGCCCCTCATAGCTACCAAAGCCATGGAGGACTTGGTGCCCCTCCCCCACTGCTCAAGTCGTTCAGGAGTGGGGGTGGGGTGGAACGTGGGGATAAAAATAAAGATGAGTCAAGACCAGCATCTTCAAATTAACAAACTGTAATTGTTTTCCCAAAGATACATTTTTTTTTCATACACATCCATCATACACTGTAACCAAAAAAAGCAGTGTACATGAAATAAGAGAAAATAAATTAAAAATCCATAGCATAGGTAAGGAGGCTCTAGTCTGGAGCACAGCTGAGTTTCCAGCAATATAAGGAGGCTCGAAAGTTTCTTTTATAAGAATGCCTGCTAGCAAGGGTTCCAGCCAGGTGGTTGGTTGGTCTGTAAGTCAGTCTTGAGTACTTGAAACAGTTCTGTGTTTTTTTTTTTCCTTAGCGTTTAGAATAGCCATCATTGTCCTGCAATAGGCAGAGCTATCACGTCCAGGAAAAATGAGGGGGGGAACCACAGAGGCAGCGTGAGATCCAAATACAGCATTCAAAGGTAATTGGTCCAGTGGTGCCTGGGGAAGGAAGAAGGGGATGGCACTCCCGGGTTAGCCATCTTCCTTCGGGGGTGTGTACCAGCCTGCAAAGAAACCAAAGAAAACAGTGAGGTGGAGGCTGATGTCCACCCTCCCGGCCCCAGTCACTGAAGACATCTCCAGGGTCAAAGGTGGAAAGAGTCTAGAAAGGGCTCCCCAGTGCAGGGAGAAGGTGTACGGGAAGGTAAGAAACTGCCTACCTGGAGATTATAAGGAAAGGGAGAATGATGCACCCAACCTGAGATGACAGCAGAGTGAGATGAGCTTTCTCACAGGGTGGTGGGGAAGAGGGGCAGCACTGAGTCTACCGGCGCTATGGACCGCTGGTGCTTTACTGGCGAAGAGGTGGCGGACGTTAGCCTCCACCCCACTGACTTCTTTGGAGAACAGGGGCAGGTGCTGTGTTAATGGGTGGTAAACGCTCGGAAACCAAAAGGGGTTCTTGCTGTTTGGCTGGAAGTGGAAACCTCAGGCTTGGCAAAAGTCCGAATCTCGAGTTGTGGCGCCAGCCTCACCGTTTTTTTCGTGGATCTGCACCAAGGACTTGTAGGACTGCTGTGCTCTTGTCAGGCTGTATTGAGACTGGGGAGAGGAAGCCACTAAATCAGGCCACCAAGCAAGGCCAGCTGTGGCCCTGTTGCCACCCAGGAGTCCCAGCTCCCAGCGCCATGCTCTGCTGACACACTAAATACCTTCCACCTGGGACGTCCCCTCAGGGCACAATCCCCTAGCTTTCCCTTTCCAGACCTGCACCCTCCCCAAAGTCCTAGGCTGCCCCTCAGACCAAGGCCCTGCTCCTGTTCCCACTGCGGGCATCCTAGGACCACTCATCCGATGCTGCCAGCCCACAGACTTTATCCTCTCAGTCCCTAAAAGAAGGCCGCCTTGGCCTCCTAGTGGCCTAAAGCGTGTATGTCTCCAGCCAGTCCCACCAGGCCCAGGTCCAGGCTCCTTACTTTGTTGGCTCCAAACTGCACTCGTGCTTTTCCCTTCACCAGTGTGGCACTGATCTGCATGATCACTGACTCTATTGAGTAGGCACTGCTCCAGCCCTAAGTAACAACAGGGACAAAGCAAACAAGTCAGGAGAGTTTCCAGAGAAACCTTATGCTTGTTCTCCAGAGAGTAGCTGCACCTACAGAAGGGCCCCTGCCCTTCACTCCCACAATGGCCATCACCTGTTTGCCCAGGTCAGTGGGTACAGGCCCTGCGAGGCAGAATGAAAGGGCCACGTTGTGCCCATCGCCCAACCCGGGGGTGGGGGTGGGGGGGAGGGTGGTTAAAGCTCAGCCTAGCCCTGCCCAGGCCAGCCAGGCCAAGAATGAGAGACAGGCTCACCTGCTTGGTAAGAAGTTCCATGCAGATGGCACCTCCGCCCAGAACATACCTGTAGAAGAAAGGTTAGTCAGCTGTGACTGGCAAAAGCTCCCTACCCTTCCTCACCCTCTGCCCTTACTGAGCTACTCACCCTCCGGACAGGACTGGAGACACAACCCTGACAAACGGCGGGTCAAAGGGAAAGTTATCCTAAGAGAGACAGAGGCAACGATCAGGGAGGGGAGGCCAGTGCCCTCTGCAACACTGTAAGATGGAGAAGGAAGCCTAGGCCAGGGACGGACTTGAAAGGAAGACCTTACTTTAAAAGAAAAGTTTAGTAGGATGAAGTCAGCTCCTTCTTTCTCTTTGAGGATCTGGAGATCGTTGTGCAAAGCGCTGTCCTGGTCAACTCTAGGAAGCAACGAGTTCAGGCTCAGCTCCAGGTCCAGCTCAGGAGCTTCGAGGCTCCCACCAACCCTGGGCGAGCAGCAGAGGGCCAAGCCACTGCCCACACCCGCTCCCTGGGACGGCCCCGGAGACTCCCACCACAGTGGCTCCACTCACTACTCAACTTCTTTTCTAATCCCACAGTCCCCACTCACTTGAGGAGTTTGACATTCCAATCATACAGACTGTCATTCACGAGTTCGACTGCATAGTTTCCTGGAAGGAGGGAAGAAGATGGGTGTCATTAGATGATGGTCCAAGTGGCAAGTGGTCCCTGATGCAGATCCCTCTCCCACGCTGAGAGAAAAAAAGGTCAAAGCCTCCAGGTTCACCCCAGACAGGCATGCATCCAATCTAAGCCACTGGAGTGGGGGTGTTCCGTCCTTGGCCTGAAAACTTCATAAGCATCCGTGCATCTGCTGCCACCATCATGTCCTTCTTTATGAGCTCATGTTCAGACCCCTCTCTGAGGCAAACTCACCGCCTTTGAAACTCTGTGATCGGTATATATCCCTGAGCTCCTTCATCAGCCGGTCAGTAGCCTGCACCGAGCCAGACACCGCACCCTACAAGGGAGGGATGGAGGACAGAACATCTCACGGCCATGTGCTTAGAAACACCGTACTAGACCTCAGGAGCAGTCTGGCAGCCAGGATTTAGGCAAGGATGAGGCACACCCATAACCCACCCAAAAGTGGATTCTGTTCCCCAGACTGATACTCAATGCCTACCACCTCCCAGCCAGCACCAGCCGACCCCTTGGCCCAGCTTCTCCCTAGAGGGCACGTACATTTAAGTAATCTTGCCTCTGGTTCTTTTTAATTTTCTCTAGTATGGCCAAGTTTTCTTTTCCGATGCCGTCATCTTCAGATTTCTTACCCTCAGCTGGCTCTTCTTCTTTCATTTCATAGTGATCTAGGTCTTCTGTGTCCTGGGGGAGGTGTGGGGTGGGAGTGGGATAGAGGAGGAAAGAAACCAACACACGTTGTGGAGAGGGGCCATCGCCTTCCCAGTCCCACTTGACCTA